TTGGTCACTTGGACATCACAGAAGCAGAAGACGGTGGCATTATCATCCTGCGAGGCAGAATTTATGGCGGCAACTGCAGCAGCGTGCCAAGGCTTGTGGTTGAGGAGTTTAATCAGCGAGGTGATTGGGAGTGAGCCCAAGCCGGTTACACTCTTCGTCGACAACAAGTCTGCGATTGCCTTGATGAAGAATCCAGTTTTCCATGGAAGAAGCAAGCATATCGACACACGCTTTCACTTCATTCGTGAGTGTGTTGAGCGAGGACAGATTAAAGTGGAGTTCGTAAGCACGAGCGAGCAACGAGCAGATATCCTCACGAAGGCACTAGCAAGGGTGAAGTTCATCGAGATGCGAGAGCTGCTAGGTGTAAGGAAGAAGCAAGCATATCGACACACGCTTTCACTTCATTCGTGAGTGTGTTGAGCGAGGACAGATTAAAGTGGAGTTCGTAAGCACGAGCGAGCAACGAGCAGATATCCTCACGAAGGCACTAGCAAGGGTGAAGTTCATCGAGATGCGAGAGCTGCTAGGTGTAAGGGACTTAGAGTCTAGTCCAGATTAAGGGGGAGAATGTGAGTTGTTAATCAGTCCTAGTTAGAATAGAATTGTTAGTTTTGAATCCATGTTATTAGATAGAGTTCTAATTATAGTAGAATACTAGTTAGGATAGGTTTCCTAGTTATTGGTTATAAATATGTAAACAAGTCTTTGTAATTGTTTGAACGAAAATAAGAAGAGTAAAAACTCCTCCACCGAATTCTCTCTCTCTCTGCAGGTTTCTGTTTTGTTCTTTCGGCCAATACAAAGGAAAGCTCTGCCCATTTAAATTCCTGCAGTCTTTCATCATCTCTCTGTTCGGGTTCAACAAGTGAAACAGAGACAAAAATTCTGCAGTAAAGTTTCGTGTCTATCTTTGGTGTTCGGTTTCTCCACAACCGGTCAAGGAAGTTTGATTACAGCCAACACACAGCATTGGCTGGACCGGATCCGGTGAGGTACTTGAGGGGGCTCAAGGTCAAGCCTGGGACAGTTCCAGTGTGCCACTTTCTCCCTCAAGACGATATCGTGTGGAGCCCTAACATGTAGAATGTGGAGTTTGCCCTAACGTCTCATAGTTTTGGGGTTTAAGTTTCGTGTCTATCTTTGGTGTTCGGTTTCTCCACAACCGGTCAAGGAAGTTTGATTACAGCCAACACACAGCATTGGCTGGACCGGATCCGGTGAGGTACTTGAGGGGGCTCAAGGTCAAGCCTGGGACAGTTCCAGTGTGCCACTTTCTCCCTCAAGACGATATCGTGTGGAGCCCTAACATGTAGAATGTGGAGTTTGCCCTAACGTCTCATAGTTTTGGGGTTTGCTTGGTGTTTCTAGATTTGTGATATGTTTGATTGTGTTTTTTGTGCATTACTGCAATGATGTATTGTATTATGGTGAAGTAGTGAATAATTTTAAGCAGCAACTTCGTGAAAATTACATGTACTATGTTATGGTAATGTGTGGCAAAATAAATTTTATTGTATCTTCCACTAAAAGGGTCCTTGGTTAGATATAGCGAGCAAAATTGATCTGCGTGTTGCCGCGTACGTATTAGTGTCTAAAATTGGTTAACATCTAGTTTAAAATATACTGAATATATAACCATTAAAATATAAAGCACTTTACAGCGAAATATAACAGTTTAGTATATATATATACTAGTATAATGCACGTGCTTTGCACGTGGATGTACTGGTTGCATGTTCGAAATTTTTTTTGTAAATAGAAAATGATGAAGCTAACTCGAAGGGTAAAAAATATATAAAGTAAAGCATTGGAAAGAGGTATTAGAACTAATACATGTTAAATATCTATTGTAATGATTATATTAATATTTAAAATTTGACATTATGTATTTGTTAGCAAACTTATTATGTTAGGTTGGTCGAATCTAATTTGTTTGCTAAAAATTGAAGAAAAGGACGAGTCTCCTTTTTAATGTCAATTACAATGAACAGATATGAGATACGGCAAGTAACGTTGAATGAATATTGAGGAAAATGCACGGGAGAAATGTCACTCGAAATAAATTGTAGGAACTTTAAAAGTTTTTATGTGCGATATTAAACTGATGGATACGAAATTCAAAGGTTGTTTCTACACTAGGAACAACAACCAAGTTTTTGTTCTAGACTTGATAGAGTTTTTATCAATGACCTATGACAATCACATTTTTATTACATTTTGTACCCTCATTATCTATTTCATTTGAATAAAAATGTCACTAATAAATGTGTTTTATCTTAATTTGCAGTTTTAATGAATAACAATCCAAAAGAATTGAACTTCCTGATTTTTTACCATTTCTTGAAGCCCAAATATGAAGACAAAAGAAGGCCCAAGAAAGATCAAGGTCAATTGGTTGGCCGACCGATTGGTTCACAACAGAAACTATTTATGACGGAGATTTAATCATTGATCTCCAAGTAATATCCAAAGGTTCTCATTCATTGCTGTAGGTTATAAATAGGGGTAGAGGGTGAGAGGTTTGAGTATGAAAAATTTTGTAATAACTCTATTTAAATAAGAGAGTTATTCTTAATTGAAAAGGCCTTCCAAAATTGTAACTTTATTACAATTAATAAAAAAAATTCACCTCTTCATATTTTTCTTTTCTTCTCTTTGTTTGATGATGAAGATGAAGATGAAAGTTTATTTTTAATAGGCTATAGCCCTCTTGCAATATGAAGATGAAGATGAAGATGAAGATGAATGTATGCTTTCAAGAGGTTAGAATCCTTTTGCAATGTAAATTTTCTCTTTTATCTTTTATTTTCTTGTAATATTTACTTTTCTTATTTTAGATATTAAAAGGGCTAAAACCCTCTTATTGTAGATTTATTTTGATACCCTGTAGAGTAGATTAACTTTCACGTCTTTATTTTCTTGTATTTTTATAGTATAGATTTATTTTCTTGCATAGTTTAGATTTTATTTTCTTGCATTACTTTTAAAAGGCTAGAATCCTCTTGGGTATTAGTTTTTATTTTCATTCTTTTCCTTTTATTCTCCAAGAGGTTAGAACCCTCTTGAGAATTAGTTTTTATTTTCATACTCTTCCTTTTACTCTCTCTACTGTAGATTTTATTTCTTAGTTTTTATTTTCTAAGATGTGGAGCTTATTCTTATAGGAATCCTAGAATTTATAAAATTGCTTGATTTCTTTTATAATTTGTAAATTATTCTCTTGTGTCTAAAATAACCATGCTTAGGATAATCAACTAGAGAACTAATTGGTAGAAGAAGAATTTGATAATCTATGCTTATCTTGAGTGGCTTGATAGATTATGCTTATGAATTCTAGAATTATTATCTAGTTGTTATTCTTTGCATGAATGTTAATTTTACTTGAATGATAATTTGATAGGTCATGCTTTCCTTAAGTGATTTGATAGACTATACTTAACAAATCTAAAGTAAAATATGATAAAAAGAGAATAATTCATAATCTATAAGTGAAATTGGCTAGTGGATTCAATTCTAGATTCATCATATCTCTAACTAAATTCTCCATATTTTACTTTCTTGATTTTCCTCTTTATTCTTGATTTTTCTTTATTAGTTTCTTGATTTTATTTTTTATTTTCTTCATCTTCTTTTCTTCCCTTTCAATCTAGTTTTATTTTTTTATTTACATATAGTCACATCCACTCTCTTTATCTCTCCACAACCACATTCTTTCATCACTCCTAAATTGTCACACACACAACTTAAGAACCAATTTTAATTAATTCTTACAACACCTTCCTCGTGTGATTCGACAATCTTTTATACTATAACTTGATAGTTGTGTGTTTGTAACTTTGGTTATTATTTATTTCCTTATCGAGTTTTTGACGTTATTGCCGGGAAGGTGCTTGTAATTAGAATTTCTCTATTTTGGTTCTTTAATTTGTGTGTTTAAGTATGGAGGAACAACTTTGAAGGAGAAAGTTGAAGATTAGAGAGAATATTTGCTTGAAAAGGTAAGTTCTCTTTCTTGTGTTTTTAATTCCACCTTCTAGTTAGGCTTTTCATATTAGAGACAATTAGGAGCTAATAAAAACAAAATAAAAAATTATTTTGTCGACCCTAATAAAATCCACCCTCTATTTAAATAACTACTAACAAGATAATAAATCCAAACAAAAACTCTTTCTCTTACATTTGTTTATTTATTTGTTGACCCTAATTAAAAAATAAAAATAATTTTTCCTTTTTGTATCCTTTATACTTGCTTTTAATTCCTAAGGTTGCATTGCATATAGTTAGTAAGAATTCAACTAAGTGATTTGAGCATCTTGATTTGATACACACTTAAAAATATTCTTAAGGGCAATACCCCCTAATCAAGATAAGGTGAGGGATTTTATCATCCTTTTCTTAGCCCATGTGACGTCCCTGTTTTCACACATGGCTACGGTTCAAGGTGATCCCATAGATGTTAAACTGGTCATGCATCCACACTGTGCATAAACACGTTTCACTAATCATAGTAATATCCTCTAGTGGAATCGAATAAAAGTACAGGTACAAATCAGACAAAATAAGAAAATAGAAACCATAGACATGATACGGAAAGAGATGTTTCATAAATAAAAATCATATCTTCACTGAAATACATTTGAGATATGAATAATGAAAATATCTCAACATGAATCAACTAAAAATTGTACTAAGGCACGCTACCTTTACAATATGAGAATAAAACTCTAATGTCTAAATAAAATAATAAAGATCCATTGTGGAGTCTCTAAAACTCATGTGACGGTGACTATGCACGAACTCGGTCATCCTACGGCTCTCCGTACCTCTGTACCACCTGAAAAAAACAACAACAAAGAGGACAACAACAAGAACGTCAGAGCGCTACAACAATATTACCTCCATCTACCCCTAGGAGAAGGGCTACTAGATGGAGTGGAGGCTCTATCTATTACACATAGTCTACCTAGATCCATTTTCTCCATATCTAATAAAATTAATATTTAGAAACCTACAACACGAGACGTAGTACGTCAAGCGAAATAATCCAAATAAGAAAACCCTCATGTATATATCATATGTCTTAAATTGTAGATGCCTAAATATTAATACCGAACTAGAGATAAACAATCTAAATTAAATCAATAATTAGAAACCCACAACATGAGACTTGTACGTCGAGCGAAATAATACAAACAAGGAAACCATTATGTATATACCATATGTCTCAAATTGTGAATCGCTAATCATCGATCTCAACTAAGAAGTGAAAAAAAATAAAGGAAATAAAGACATCAATACATCGTATTTATACTTTCTTCCACTACCACTGGGGAGATAGAATAAATACCAACATATAATCCTGTACACTTTCAAGAATAAGTATCTCGATCAAATAACTCAGTGATGAGTCGTACTCATTACTGGCATCCATCGAAACTCGATCAAATAACTCAGTGATGAGTCGTACTCGTTACTGGCATCCGCCGAAAACTTAGGCTATCAATTAACTATTTCAATGCAACGGACTACCATGTAGGCATCCTAAATAGTGTACACGGCTCATTAGTCTCATCGTATCTCTGTGCATAACATAAGCGTGGGACGGCCTACTATATAGGTAACCAAAAAGATGGCTCACAAACCTCATCGCACCTTGGTGCGGGACGGACTGCTAGGTCAAGCATCCTCAAACCCGGCTCAATAGCATGTACTAATGGAATATCGATGCACTAACCCATATATATGTATAAACTGTGTAATCAATCTATGTACGAATGATATATTTGTAGGCGTATAAAACTGCTTATAGGTCCCTCAACACAGCTCGGCACGATGATTCGACAAACCAACGAACCATCGGGCGATGTATTCAAGCATGATCGTTAGACCACAACATCGAAGCTAAGTGAGATGCGACGAAGCAGATTAACGAGGCGACGAGGTTAAACACCGAAGCGGATTTACTGCTAAATCAGGATCCGGACTGCCAAATCAGAGTCCAGATCAACAAATCAGAGTTCGGATAAACCGCGAAACCGAAAAACGACAAAACAGCAAACACCTGGAGGGCTCGGCCAAAACCGAGCCACTCAGGTGGCTCGGTGG